GAAGACGACGACGACAACGACAACGACGACGAGCGGAAGCGAGAGCGTGAGCGAGAGCGACAGCGGGGCCACAAAGGGCAGAAAGGGGGCCACGAAGGGCGACAGCGGGGCCACGAAGCGCATGCGTATGGGGCCACGAAGGGCGCGAACGAGCGGGGTCCACGAAGGGCAGATAATGCGGGGCCACAGGGGGCAACGACGGGGTCACTGAGGGCAGCAACGGGGCCACGTAGGACAGCGAGGGGGCCACAAAGTGTGACACCGGGGCAACGAAGGGCATGCATATGGGGCCACGACGGCGCGAGCGAACGGGGGCCACGAAGGGCATACGAATATTGGGCCGCAGACGGCGAGGACGGGGCCACGAAGGGCAGCAACGGGGCCACGAAGGGCAGCGAGGGGGCAACAGAGGGCGACAGTGGGGCCACGAAGCGCATGCGAATGGGGGCACGATGGGCGCGAACGAGCGAGGGCCACGAAGGGCATACATATGTGGGACCACGAAGGGCAACGAGGGGGCCTCGGAGGGCTGCAACGGGAACAGGACCGGCAGCGAGGGGGCCACGAAGGGCAGCGAGGGGGCCACGAAGCGCAAAGAGGGGTCCACGAAGGGCTGCAACGGGGCCATGAAGGGCAGCGAGGGGGGCACGAAGGGCTGCAACGGGGCCAGGACCGGCAGCGCGGGTGCCACGAAGGGCTGCAACGAGTCGACGAAGGGCAGCGAGGGGGCCACGAAGGACTGCAACGGGGCCACGAAGGGCAGCGAAAGGGTTACGAAGGGCTGCAACGGGGTCACGCAGGGCAGCGAGGGGGCCACGAATGGCTGCAACGGGTCCACGAAGGGCAGCGAGGTGGCCACGGAGGGCTGCAACGGGTCCACAAAGGGCAACGAGGGGACCACGAAGGGCTGCAACGGGGCCACGAATGGCAGCGAGGGGACCACGTAGGCTTGCAACGGGGCCACGAAGGGCAGCGAGATCCTGATTCCAAAATAAGCTTTGAGGGAGTCCTAAGCGTGAGCGCGACTCCTGGGTGCCTGAGTGTCGGGAGCGCGGCGCTTGAGCAAATTGCGGGAAATTCTAAAGCGCGACTTCAGAGCGCCAAGAGAGCGATTCCTGAGCAAATTGTGCGGAAGTCCCAAACGAAAGAACCATTCCTGAGTAAAATGCGAAAAAGTCTCAGGGGGCGCGGGGGTCCTGGTTAAATTGTCAGGAAGTATCAGGCGGGAGCCGTTGTTGATGTAATCCGGGGGCCAACAACGCAGTTTGAGCCTAGTGACTTTCCCTGATAAAACAAGTCACGAGCCCCAGTGGAACCACTTGAATGTAAAAAAAATGATCTCCCGAGGGGAGGGATCAATACAACTGATTCTCTAGTAGTGAGAATTCAACAACAACAACAACAACAACAACAACAACAACAACAACAACAACAACAACAACAACAGCAACAGCAACAGCAACAGCAACAGCAACAGCAGCAGCAGCAGCAGCAGCAGCAACAACACATGCGCGCGATCTCTGGGGAGCCTCCCTCTCCCCCTCCTCCCCCTCCTCCTCCTCCTCCTCCTCCTCCTCCTCCTCCTGCCCGCCCTCGCCATCTCACTCCGCTCTCCCCCTTCATCCCTCCTCCTATGCTCCCTTCGCCCTTCGCCCTCCCTGTCCCTCCCTTCCGCCCCCCCCTTACTCTCACACACCCCTCCCAGCCCTGGCCTCCGATGGGTTGGCTCTTATGGGCGCAACCATATGGGCTAACTATTCTGGGCTTCACAAGACAAACTGCATCGAAAGAACTAGCAACATTGATGCATTGTGTGTTCGCCCAACCGGGATTAAACAAGATATACCAACGCATCAAACTGATCAACAACGAACCAAACATAGGCACGACAGACTTAGCACACATAGGATGCAGACCGCGTGCACATTACATAGCAGAACATAGCATTCGCAGCTTCATTCCCAAACCATATCGTTCACCATGCATGCAACACGTTGTTTTTTTCGGCGGATTTCTCAACCCTGCGCAAATGTTCGCCCATGGCAAAGCAAGCCGCGAAACGAGGCAGAAGCAGGGCAGAGACAAGACACGAGCCTCGTGGAGCAGAGCCTGAGGCCCAACGTGTACGAGTCACTAAAAAGGCCAGAGGAGGAGGAGGAGGAGGAGGAAGAGGAGGAGGAGGCGGAGGAAGCGCTAGAGCACCAAGAGCGGAGGGAACATTCTGCGAGGCAAACACACAAGGTGTATGCACCCCGCTCACGCCGCGGTCGGTGGTACCTCACACAGACTCGGAGCAACGCAGACAGACGCGAACAACCGGGAAGTCCACGCATCGAGCATCGGAGGGAAAAACATGGACATCCACGGCGACCGAACAAAAAAAAACCAACCGAGCCGACAACGACACCGAAACCAGAAGGTTGAAGGACGCCCAGTTGCCGCAGGAGGCCGCAGAAGGGGGTAACGATGCGGCTGCGATATCACAACCGACCAAATCGCACCGACCGAACGCAACCGACTGCGACGCAACCGAACCGACCAAATCGCGGTCACCCTGGAGGAACTCTGGATGGGCGACCTGGAAGAATCCAACCAGCCCTGATGAGAACAGAAATTAACGCACGTGCCAGTACTAAGCGATTGAATCAAATTCGGTTCGACGCTGCGCGGGAGTGGCACTTACCCCAGGCCGTGCATCACGCCCTGGATCAAGTACTACACTGCGATCTCTGTGCTTCAGCTGCTAACGAGCAGGGCTTCTCAGATATCGCAAGCAGCCGAAGAGAAGATGGCTATATATAGAGAGAGATACGCAAGCGGGAAAAGAGGATATGTAATAGGAGGGAGAGAGAGAGAGAGAGAGAGAGCAAGAGAGAGAGAGAGAGCGAGAGAAAACAAATAAACAAGCACGAAATAGAGAGGGGGAGATAATCAACATATATAAGAAGGGAGAGAGAGGGAGAAAGAGAGCGAGAGAGATAGGAGAAGGATGAGGAGGGCGAGGAGGAGGAGAGAGAAGGAGAGAAGAGAGAGAAATTGGGAGAGAGAAAGAGAGAGAGAGAGAGAGAAAGAGAAAAAAAAAAAAAGAAGAGGTATAGAAGTGAGAGAAATGGGGACAAAGAGAGGAGGGGAAAGAGGGGAAGAGAGAAAGAGTGTGAGACAGACAGAGAGGGATACATACATACATAGAGAGAGGGAGAACAAGCAAAAACAACATACAGAGAGACGAGAAAGGAGAAAGACGAGGACACCACATACGTATGCACAGGCAACATCCGGGGCGGACGTACGGGGGGGGTCAGCAAATGAGGGGGGGCGAACAAGCTGCATGCGGCTAGTTCTCCGGGCGCCGATGTACGCAGCAAGCTGCATGCGGCTAGTTCTTCCGGCGCCAATGTACGCAGCGAGGAGAGCGCCCCAGCGACGTGGCCCAGCTGCATGCAACAAGTGTCGTGCCCATCCTCCGAACTTTGATCCGATCCATCCGAGCAAAAGAGGAGACTCGACACTGCCGTAATTGCTCTACGTCATGAAGGTGCTCACGAGGCGCACATGTCAGGGTGCCATCGGCTTTCGGGCCATGCAACGGGCCTCCGGAAGTCGTTCGGGACGATCCGGGCGCCCCCGGGGCGCTCTCGGCGAGGCGCAGCTGCTAGAGAGCCCCCCGAGGCTGGGAAACCGCCGAGACGCGACGACACTCACATTGCCTCATTTTCGTCTGGCCTGATGGAGGAGGTCTTGCCATCGCTCGGACGTCCATTCCCCGTGTATCGCTTGGTTTCGTGCGTGCGTTTGTCTCAAGCTGGTGGAACATGCTTCATGTTTTTAAACATCAACCTCTGCAGACCCTCAACAAGCGAACTTCCCCCACTCCGTCTGTAGAGCGACTCAGACAGGCTGACCTACCTTGAAGTTAGTCTGAGTCGCGGGACCACTGGGCAACGTAGGCTGTACACGACGATGCCCAGAGAGTCCTGAGCGCCACGGCAGGGCGCACGGTCGGGGAGGACACCAGGGAGACGCAAAGCGAACAGGCACAAGCCATAGGATATCCTCTGATCTTCAGTATGTTCTGGATGTTCGTCTTTCCAATCACTTCCCAGCTTTCACATAGCAAACGTTTTATTATGTTTCGTTTCAACATTGGGCAGAAGGGGGAGGGAGGGGGGGGCCTTGCTCCGGATCTCTGCTTAAATGCAAATGTTCGGAACCGTGCGTCCTCTGGGGGAGACTCCCTCTGCTCGAAGCAGGTGCCAAGAACAGCCAAGATCTACTCCATGGGTCCATGGGGGAGAGATATCGACGGGGGGGTGCGTGGGCCCGCGCAGATCGGCAAAACAACGAATAAGAAAACGATCACATATCTAGAGGTCTCCTAGATGGGGTCAGAGGACGCCGCATCGGCGATGCATTGGGATGCACCGGCGACTCATCGTCGACGTCGGCGATGCATCGGCGACGTCGACGTGAAGCAAATCGGGCTCCACATCGAGCCGCATCGCCGATGCATCGGCGATGCGGCTCGATCCTCCGACCCCGTCTGCTCCGACCCCATTCAGCCAGGAGGCCTAGGATATCTTACAGGGAATCGACGATCACCTGTGTCTGTGGTTTTCATCCCTCCTCCTTCCTTCGTCGTGGACCGGGACGCAGAGGAGGGAAAGGGAGGAGGAGGAGGAGGAGGAGGAGGAGGAGGAGGAGGAGGAGGAGGAGGAGGAGAGAGGGAGGAGGAGTGAGGAGAGGAGGCAGAAGGAGGAGAGGAGGAGGAGGAGGAGGAGGGAGGAGGAGGAGGAGGAGGAGGAGGAGGAGGAGGAGAGGAGGAGAGGGAGGAGGAGGAGAGAGAGGAGGAGGAGGAGGAGGGGAGGGAGGAGGAGGAGGAGAGGAGGAGGAGGGAGGGAGGAGGAGAGGAGGAGGAGGAGGAGGAGGAGGCGAGCCAGGCCTGCTTTTCCTCCCTCCCGAGAAGCGCAGGGCCGCGCTCCGCGAGAGGCCCCGGGGCGGGCCTCCCAGTCCGCCGCGTTCGCCGCGGCGGCTCGGCCGGCGTGGCCCCGGGGCTGCAGCGGCAGGCCTGGCGCGCGGGAGAGGCCCTCCTCCTCCTCCTCCTCCTCCTCCTCCTCCTCCTCCTCCTCCTCCTCCTCCTCCTCCTCCCTCTCCTGCCTCCTCCTCCCTCCTCCTCCTCCTCCTCCTCCTCCTCCTCCTCCCTCCTCCTCCTCCTCCTCCTCCTCCTCCCTCTCCTGCCTGCTCCTGCCACCTTCCCCAAGGCTCGACTCCTCGTCCTCTTCCTACTCCTCCCGTCCCAGCTCACTCCACCTCCACTAGCAACTGCCTCCTTCGACTTGTCCTGCGAATCTACCTCTTGCTCTCGCGACCACCTCCAAGCCAGTTCATGACTCCTTGACACAATGTTCCTCCTCCATCCTGACTACTGCTCATGCTCCTAAACCTGACTCACAGGCGCTACCGTAGCCAGTGTCGTGCTTCTGTGAAGCTGACACAATTCCGACCTAGCTCATCATATCAAAAAAATGATCAACAAACACGTGTCAGAACATACCCTGGCTCTGGACACGAATACAGTACATCCTGCAAGAAACAGTGCCATTAGCCACAAACAAATCGAATGGCGCTAAACAACACAAGCTGAACCATGGAAGACTTCAAAACAATACATGACCTTCATGGCAGAACTACTCCGATGTGACAAGCATGGCCTTCAAACTACGCCAACATGTAGTACAACGGGACTGCAACACAACACAACTAATCACGCGGCGTGCTACCAAACTTGCGGGCAATCAAGCCTAGGTCATGCGGATACGATGCGCGGACACACGCATGAATATCAACCAGAGCCCTGCGCAACACACAACACATCTAAATCATGGTTCGTGGGGACAGAACATACGCAAACTACCCACCGATGGACATCCGAGGGCCCCAGGGACCCAGATGCTGTACACATCCGCCAGCGTGCCCACATGACACGCCGAGGCGAGGCAGAATGTCGGACGCTGCCTGGCATGTGGTCTGATGAACCCCTCTGCCCGGCCTCCCCGTGGCGCCCGCGCGCGCACCCCCTCCCGCGTCCCGAGGCTGCCTCGTCGGCCCGACGCTCCCCTGGCGCTGCAGCGGGAGCTCGGCCACAGGAAACCTTCCACGAGAAACCCGGCCCTGAGACCCCAGGACGTCCATTGATTTATTGGTTGGTTTGGGAACGCCATGCCTTCCATGGCAAAACATTTGTAGCCCAGGAAGCCCAGGGCAGCCTGGAGGCGAGCATGGTGTTTCTTGACATGGGCTTCCCATGCATCTCTCGTGCGCCCAAGATGCCCACGACTGCTTCCCGGACGGCCGTTGCAGACAACCAAGGCCGCCAGGATGGCCTGCGATGCCTCCAAGACAGCCCGAGATCGTCTTATGACGGCTCAAAGATGCCCCGATGACGGCCCGAGAGGCTCACAAGACCCTATACTCCAGTGCAGTCAGGCAGCCTACTGACCCGGCTATCAGACCCCTATCGGCGATCAGTGAGCGACTGGGGGTCGATGTATCCCCCACTATGCCTATACCACCTGACGTTGCCCCTGGGTCTTCGGGTCTAAACTCGGCTCCCCGGCGGCCGTTTGGGACGATTCTGGCACCTCCGGAACGCTCTCGGCGAGGTGCAGCTCCTGGAGAGCACACCGAGACTGAGAAGCCGCCGAGAACCTGCGACAACGCCTGAAAACCTCGAAGCTCGAAGCTTCGCAGCCCCTGCTTGCCCTTGCCGCTGCCCCTGAAGCCCTCGCCTCCCCCGATCGTTGCCCCTGACCTGTGGAGGGAGGGGCGCGTGCCAGCCGCGCCGCCGGCTGGGCCTGCGACCGCGGCCGCGCGGCCCAGGCTGGAGTCCCGCCTCGGGCGGCGCGGCGCAGGGGCTGCGCCCCCCTTTCACCTCCTCACCCCGTGGCCCCTCCTCTGGGCGTCTGCGGGGTGCCACCCCCCCCACCCCCCCTACAGGGTGCAGGGTTCACAAAGAGCTTGCGCGGATCAATCCCGCCCTAAAACCCTTCTTCCAGGGCCGCCCTACTCCACGCCCTCAGCGCGTCAGCGCGACCTGAATCCACCGCCCCCCTGAGGCGTCGTCGTCGTCGTCGCCGTCGACGGAGGATCAGAAAGGATGAACGCGCCAGCATAACTGCAATCGCATACGCTCCTGTGGCGCTCACATTTGGCAGTGCGCACACGGGAGTAGGGGAAGGGGGAAGGCTGCTTAGAAGGAGGCTGCTTCTTAGAAGGCGCGGGCCTTACGTCCACAGACAAGGCCCGCGCCTTCTAAGAAGCAACCTCCTTCAAAGAAGCCGTCCCCCCTCAACCCACCCCCTTGCGCGCGTGGCCGACACGCCACACCCACCCCGGACACCCATGCCATGTGCAGGGACACGCAAACTGCGGCATGCTAGCCGACGGGGCGGGGGCGTCTGGGTCGCGGCTGCGGCGGGCCGCCAGGGCGCTTGTGGTTATTCCGGCGGCGAGCTCAGGGGGGAAGTGCGAAGGGGCGGGCCTTCTCATAAAGCTCGGAAGTTCCCCTGTCTTCGGAAAAGTGCTCGAAGCCTTCCCCAAATACATAAAACACCTCTCAGAAGCCAGATGGCTTCTGATAAGCCCCGCCGCCCTTTGAGAAGGTCTTCTCCTTCTGATGCCCCCCCATCGCTCGCCGCCGATGATTTGCTCTCGTGCGGGGCCCCCCTTTTCTGGGCGCGCTCAGGGGCGCCTGCGAACGCCTCAGGAGCACGCGGGTGGCGTCGGGAGCTGAAAAAGTCCACGGGAAGCCGCGACGGCGGGATGCGCACCGCACCATATTTCGAATGAAAAATTGCGGTGTTTCGGAGCCAGCATCGCATTGCGATGTGTCCCGCACCAAACGTTCAATGAAGGATCGTCCAAAGGTTGGGGAAGTAGTTTCCGAAAAGCAACATGAGGGGAATGCGTGCCGCACCACATGTTCCATGAATGCTCGAGAGGGGGTTAGGAATCATCATGGCGATGTGTCCCGCACCGCATGCTGAACGCAGGGCCGTGAAGGATTTAGGAGGTATCGCGTTCTGGGTGGGCGTGGGGGATTCTGTTTAGGATGAGGAAGCAAGGGGGGGGGGGATCCATCGGTCAGTGGGGCCCAGGCCACGGCAGTGGGGATAAGGACCGGTTACCCTACACCCTACACCCTGAACGTCCTTGTGCACCCTCAACCCTAGAGGGTCGTGGGCGGGTCGCGGGCCAGGTCGCGAGTGGGACGACGACGACAACAATAACAACAACAGCAACAACAATCATTATAAGACTCTTCGCTCTGACTTGCCCGGCATGTTCCCCCTCCCTTCCACTCTCCCTCGTTCTCCCCCTCCTCTTCTTGCAGGGCCCACACCAATTCCAATGGCGGGCACATGCACGCCCACGACAGATTGTCCGCCCGTTCAGGTTTGCCCGCCTGTCTAAGCCCGCCGCCCCCCGCAAAGAGAAAGAATCCTCCCAAAGGAGGTGTGATCGAAGACAAAAAGGGCGGGTATCGAGGGGGGCATTTCTCTTTGCGGGGGGCGGCGGGCTTAGACAGGCGGGCAAACCTGAACGGGCGGACAATCTGTCGTGGGCGTACATGTGCCCGCCATTGGAATTGGTGTGGGCCCTGCAAGAAGAGGAGGGGGAGAACGAGGGAGAGTGGAAGGGAGGGGGAACATGCCAGGCGAGAAGGAGCGAAGAGGGGGGCGGCTGATTAGAGGCAGAGAGAGAGAGAGAAAAAGACATATAAGAGAAGTAGAGAAAGAGAGAGAGAGAGAGGAGAGAGAGAGGAGAGAGAGAGAGAGAGAGAGAAAGAAAGAAAGAGGGAGGAGGCAGGAGAGGGGAGGGAGACGGGAGGAGGGAGAGGAGGGACAGGGGATAGGGCAGAGAGGCATAATAATGAGGGAAGAGAGGAGGGAAAGAGAAGGGAGGAAGGAGAGGAGGGAGGGGGGAGGAGGGAGAGGGAGGAGGAGCAGGAAGGTAAGAGCGTGAACGTTCGAAGAAGTCCTAGGCGAAAACGCCGTTCCTGGAGGAAGTCTCGGGCGGGAGCCCACGACGGGCGGGCGATCCCCTGACGGGCGGGTCGGGCGGGTGGGACATTCAAGCGGGATGCCTGAGTATGGCGAGAGCGCGATTACTAAGTAAATTGTTACGGCGTCATTGGCGCAGCGTGATTCCTGAGCGTCGAAAACGCGATGTCTGAATAACTTGCATGGAAATCACAGGCGAGAGCGCAATTCCTGAATCAAATGTGAAGGGCTCTCTGGCGGGAGCGGGGGTCTTGATTAAATTGCGAGGAAGGCTTGATTCAATTTCGAGGAAGTCTCGAGCAGGAGCGCCGTTCCTGAGTAAATTGTGAGGAAACCTCAGATGGGAGAGGGGGTCCTGACTAAATTGCGAGGAGGTCACAAGCGGGAGCACCGATCCTGAGTAAATTGTGAGGAAGTCTCAGGAGCGGAGGCCCTGAGCAAATTTGGAGGAAGTCTCAGGCGGGAGCCGTTGTTGTTATAATCTGGGGGGCCAGAGGCACAGTTTGAGCACCAAGGCTTTCCCTGTCAAAAACAGGGTGCGAGCATCAAGGGGCACAATTTGATTGAGAAAAAGCAGTATGCACCGGTGAGGGGGATCAACAATAATTACCTATACGACCACCCTGCGGGTGATAAGGAGGTGAGGGGGGAGGGGGAACCAACGTCTCACTCAATCGATCTCGCTATCGATCTCACATTCGATCTCATTATCGATATCACTATCGATCTCAATATCGATCTCACTATCGATCTCACAATCGATCTCACAATCGATCTCACATTCGGTCTCACATTCGGTCTCACTGTCGATCTCACAATCGATCTCACAATCGATCTCACAGTCGATCTCACATTCGGTCTCACATTCGGTCTCACTATCGATCTCACTATCGATCTCACTATCGATCTCAATATCGATCTCACATTCGATTTCACATTCGGTCTCACTATCGATCTCATTATCGATCTCACAGTCGATCTCACTATCGATATCACAATCGAACTCCCAATCGATCTCACAATCGACGCCATCATCATCATCATCATCATCATCATCATCGTCATCATCATCATCATCATCACCATCATCATCATCATCATCATCATCATCAACATCACCATCATCACCATCATCACCATCATCATCATCTCACAATCGATCTCACAATCGATCTCACTATCGATCTCACAATCGATCTCACATTCGGTCTCACTATCGATGTCGCAATCGATCTCACAATCGACGTCATCATCATCATCAACAACAACACCAACATCATCATCATCATCATCATCATCATCATCATCATCATCATCATCATCATCATCATCATCGCCATCGCCATCATCACCATCATCATCATCACCATCATCATCATAATCATCCACATCATCATCGGGTCACCGACGGGACACCGACGGGACACCAGCGGGACACCGGCGGGACACCGCGCGCCACCGGCCGCCCGGAAGAGACATATTTGGTCCGGCCGCGCCTCAGCCACAGGGACACCGACGGGACACCGGCGGGACACCGGCGGGTCACCGCGCGCCACCGGCCGCCCGGTGGAGAATCATTTGGTCCGGCCGCGCCTCAGCCACAGGGGACTTTCTCTCGCCCGCCCACGCAGCTTCGCCTCGCCCGCACGCACGGCACGCACGAACGCGAAACCGAAATCGATTTCCCGGTAGGGGGGCTCTCCGTTCCATTTCGATTTCACCCCCTCACCTCCGATTCTTCAGAAATGAGAGTTCAACAACAACAAGAACAACAACAACAAGAACAACAAGAACAACAAGAAGAACAACAACAACAACAACAACAACAACAACAACAACAACAACAACAACAACAACAACAACAACAACAACAACGACGCAACACAGCACAACACAACAATGATCCGCACCGCGAAACCCCACTTCATCCACGCACCCAGGGGCAGTGAATGACCGTCTGGCCCCATCACTCTGATGTAGGACGAGAATGATGCCATGATGAGATTGGCTCGAGATACCTTCTAGAGTTTCCGGGAGGATCTGGCGGCCCTCGTTCTTGCAGCCCCTGTGGAACATCAGGGAACACGGGACATCCTGGAAACGTTGGAAATCTTGGGAAGTATCATTATCATGTCCTTGTGACCCTCTGAATATAGTCAACCCGGAGAAGGTTGTCCATCCTTACTATGCGGGTTGACTGTATCTTTAGGTCGGGCGTGTCCTCATACAGGCGGGCTTGGGACGAAAAATGAAAAACATTCAAACAGTGCTCAAACATAGTCAAACATAATCCAAACATCGTCCCCAGACTACTGTTAAAGTATGTTTGAAGATTCCTCCTGTAGAGGGACACGCCCGACTTGACTGTCTCTGGGGAGCGAAGAAACAAGAGCACCCAGTGCGCCAGGGGCGGCACCGGAGGCGCCGCCGAGGTGGCCCAGCGCGGATCCAAGAAGTCCGCGCGGAGCGCCACAAGTTTGTGCTTGTGGCGTCCTGTCTCCATCGAATTGATCACCCCGTCATCCCGCAGCGCCCGACGGCACCTGTCGGCACCCGGGCCCCGGGGCCCGGCCCCTCGCCGCGGGGCGCTCCCTCACCGGTGGCCTCTCAGGATCCGAGAACGGCCCCCAGGGGCCCAGCTCGCGGAGCACTGCCCGCCGCGCGGTCTGCCGTGCGGCTCTTGCTCGTGGAGCCTGGAGCGGCTGCGCTCTGCCATCGCTCGGACGTCCATTCCCTGTGCAGCGTTTGGCTTCGTGCGTGCCTTTTCGCGATGGGCCGAGATGATCCCAGATCGTCAAGACTTTCTGGCGCCAACCTCGCCGAGGAAAATGCACACGTCCGGGCGATGCCAAGGCGTGATAATCGGCCCCCTGCCAATGCTGGACATACACTGGCAATGCTCTGTCGCTATATTGTTAACTTTCCCCAGGGCCAGATTTCCAGCGAGGGCCCAGGGAGGCCGAAAATGGTAAAACAACGCCGCATCGCGTTTTCTATAAATTTCGTACAGACAACATCTGCATAATCATAAACTTGTGACGCTCCCTGCGGATCGGCGCTGGACCCCCCCTGGCGTCTGGAGCGCCCCAGGGGTGCCCAACGCCGGTCCACGCAATCCCGGCGGAACTCCGAGCAATTGCATTTATGCTTGTTCTGCTCGTCGAGTCTGGAGCCTTCCCTTCTCGTTAAGGACTTAGCGACTTCTGCTGTCCCCCGACTCGCGCTGCAGACGTCAAGCTCTTCAAGCCCCTCTGGGGGCCTCTTGGCAAGCCCGCAATGAATACGGAAAACATGGGCACGATGCCCAACAGCAAATGTTGTCCCAAACCGGCAGCGGCCGCTGCTGGGCAGGCGACTTGTCTCAGATGGACAACGTTCGCGGCGACACCAACAGCGAGTTCTGTTCCAAGTGAAGAAAGGATTCTGCCGGTTGGAGGCAGCCCATGGGCCTGAATTGGTTGGGACCCCAAGAAATCGGTCAGGCGAGGGGGTGAGATCAGATCCGCTCAGGATCGTTCCCCAAACCCCTACCAGGGTCCATCCGGGCCCGTGCTCCGCCCTGGACCTGCTTCTGACGGCGCTGGGGCCCGCAAGCGGCCCCCAGATACTGAAAAAAGCAAACAACTCTCGAACCCAGAGCCTCGAACCTTGCCCCCACTTCTTGCTCGCAAGAACCAAAGCTGGGCCACCTCAGACTCCCAGCTGGCTCCACACTGTAGGTCCTCGCACCCGCTCTTTCCGCTCCTACTTCGATCGAACCGAGACCCCAGGGGGGGACGCAAAGGCAGGATCGGGGCCGCGGGGCTGGAGGAAGGTCGCTCTGAGCGGCTCCTAAAAGAAGGAAATGTGTGAGCATCTTGGGGGACCCCCGTCTCTACGAACCCCCGAAGGGGGGGGCTCGGGGGGGCTCTTTGCTGAGGGGGGACGGTAGGCAGGAACTTGAATAGGGGGGGAAGCATCGACCTGGAATCGGCGATACATCACCGATAGATCGGCAATAGGCCCCCGACAGTGAATCCGCACGTTCCTGGGCGGGGTGGGGCTATCAGAAGCCAATCGGCGATCAGTGGTGGATTGGGGGTCGATGCAGTCCCCCCCTGAACCCATCATTCCCCAATAGGGTTCCGGGGCAACGATCTCCCCCCTGGAACTATCCCCTCCTGCACATGTCCCCCCCTGAGCCCATCCCCGCCCAGTCAGAGGCAACGACAGCAAGACGAAGCGAGGACGAGGATACCGTCGGGTGAATACATCGAGAACTTCAGAGATCCGACGGCTCTGGAGGATGCCTCGGGCGACGCCGCCTTCTCGGAGCGCTCCAGATCGCTCCGAGAGCGCTCCAGAACGCCCTGGAACGGATTTATCCTCGTCCCAGCTCCGTCCAAGATCCCAGACCCCCGACGTCATGGATTTCTCATGACGTGGATCCCCAGCGGCCTGGACCCATTCCCCAGGACCAGTTATTCATCCCGAGTCGATCTTTGACGATCCCGAGGGCTGGCAGGGGCCCCCAGCGGCCGACAACGGTGAAACACATTCCGTCGTGATTCTTTCATGACTCGAGGAGGTCTGGGGTATTGTAGCGGAGGTCAGCCCACAAGAAACCTTCCACCGGAAACCCAACCCTGAGACCCCAGGACGTCCATGGACTTTCGGTCTGGGAACGCCACGCAACACCATCGAAGCCCAAAGAAACCCAGGGTGTCCTGGAGGCAAGCAGGGTGCTTCTTGGCATGGGTCTCCACTGTATCGTTATATTACTCCCATCGTACTCCAAGACCACATCCCAGAAATGATTCCGAGCACCCGGAAAAGTGTCGAAAGAGTGTCGAGACAGTGTCGGACGAGTGTCTCCCAGGGTGCGACACGTGAAATCCCTTGAGCTCTTGGGTACTTCTCTGGTGCTCGACATTCTTTCTGGTGCTCAAGGCTAAAATCGGCGGTGGACAAACCTCCCTTTAGCAAACCTCCCCTTAATGAAAACGGCCTGGGACCGAAACCCCCGCGGATCTGGACCCGCAAAAACGACGGCCGCGACGCCCTCTCGCGAGCCGAAACCGACCAATTCCTCACTCGACGTGTCAGGGTAGGAGGTCTAGCCACCTCCGATAAGATAGGCTGGAACATCGTACAATCAAAAACCCTAATAGGGACGCGCGGTAAGCACGCAAGACCCTTGGAAGCCGAAGGTGGGATTCTTGAAGCGGCGGACGACGAAAACCCCAAGGACGCAAGAGCAAGGAAGAGCAAGGACGCAAGGGTACCCTGAGCAAAGTCGCGCGTCCTTATTAGGGTCATTGGCTGTGACTGCACCGCTTCCCGTGCCATTTGCTCGCGCCCGGCGCCGCCCCGGCGTGCCGCGCCGCTCCCCGAGCGCCTCCGCCGGCGCGCGCCGCTGCAGCGCCTCGGCGAGGGGGGGGCGCGCCGCGGGCCCGCAGGGGGCGGGGGGCCGCGCCGCGGGGCGCCGCGGGGCTGCGCCCGAGAGGGCCGCGGGCGGCCGCCGAGGTGGCAGAGCTGGCCATCGTTCGGACGTCCATTCCCTGTGTTTTTTTGTCGGTGTCGTGCGTGGATTTTTTTCGCCAAGTGATCACGGATGCTCCTCGATGGTCCTCGCCGAAGGAAAAACGCACACGTCCGAGCGATGCCGAGAGAGGGGGTTCGGGCGCGGGCTCGGCGGCAACGCATGGGAGCCTCCCGCACTATCTTGTCAGGGGGCCACATGCGAGCCCTACCCCGACCCCCACGATGTCTGAGGGGGAGGGTGGGGTTCCCTTCGCTCGGGAGCTCCCGAACGCAGTGAACCCCCGCCCCCCTCAGAAATCGTGGGGGGTAGAGGTAGGGTTCGCATGTGACCCACTTATCTTGTCGGCTCCTGCGAATCGGCGCGAATCGACGCTGAATCGACACTTTTATCGACGCGGATCGACGCTAACCGACGCTA